GCTCATCAGTTCGATCAGAATTTAACTTTATTTGTCCAAATGCAGGTCTACAACAGGCAAGATCATTTTTGTTCATCAACTTTTTACAGAACCACAATTTAAAACATGGCTCATCATTTTAAGTTAAAAAGCTGCATCTGCAACGAGTTTTAAGCAACTGTTTTGCATTACTTTAAACAACAAAATGGTCAATTTATTACTTTTTGAAATACACTTGATTCTTGCTGTAAGAAAAGTCATTAACTACAATAAAGAAATGGCTGAAAGAGATGTATTAAATACAGTAAGTGCCAAAATTTTAGGGTAGTGGAGACTGAAACAATACTGTATTTAACAAACCACAAAGAATCAGATCAAATTAGAAGCATTTTTTATAAGTTTGATGAAAAAGAAATTGATCAATCCCTCAAACTAAAACACACAAAAAAGCAAAACACTGCCAAAGCTCTTGAGCCGATGAGACAAAGGAATATGAGAAAACTTTACAAAGATGCTGACTTTGAGCAATATTCCCATATATGAATAAAACTCCAAATATAAAATCAAATATAAAAGTACTATTGAGCAGTAAGATATGGAACAAAGTGAAAAACAGGCTACAGTAAGTTTCAACTACATCATGTTGTCTTTCATTATATGCATGAAGCATTTCAAAAATGGCAGCGCTCCAAAAGCGCAGACCTTAACCAAAGACGTCTAACCTCCAGTAGAACATATTTTTTCATTGGCCAACATCAGGCTAACACATCTTGGCACGCAAGCTTTCATCAGAGCATCTGCTTTTGGCAGAGCACCCAACCAGAGGAAGGTTAGATGAGAAGGCGCACCTGCTATATGTTTTTCACTGCTTGATCTCATTATCATCAAGTGTGTTGTAGTAGCAGCACTGACAAGCTGCTTCCGGCAGCAGATTTTTAAAAAAAATATCCCTGATAAAAAAAAATGTAATTAGTAAGCACGGTTTTGCGTGTATCTCTAAACAGAACAATCAAGCAAAGATGTATTGTCAATTAAACTTTTTGACACTAAATAAAATCAAACTTTTTTTCATTGTTGTCATTTTAAACACATTCGTAGAATGATTGGATATTTTTATGCTGGTCATGTGTCTGTTTTAAGCATTTTTTTTATTATTATTGTTTGTTCACAAAATAAATCAAAGAAATTTGAACAGTTCAAGAGCATTTTTGTGTGCGTGAAAAAAAGAAGCTTTTCCAAGATACAGTAACTTTGAAACAACAATGGGTTAGTTTATTTTTCTCCATCATGTTTTTTTCCCACCATACTAACAAATAGGGCTGGGAAAAATGACAGAAATATTCATGATAATTATATCATGATATAAGCTATGGATATATTATCGATT